TTTTTACATTTTGTTGCACAACATTTTCCTTAGAAGCCAAGAGAATGGTGATATTTATTTTTAACTGCTATGTCTGAAATTGCCATTCCTTTCCTCTTGAAGCTTATTGGTTACTTTCAGACTACCATTGCAACCAAACACTGGACTGTCTCACTCAGCCCGAATCACAGAATGTTTTCACAGGCTCAACAGCTGCGTCTTTCATGTCTGTTGCTACACAGGGCCAGCAAATACTGTGCACTGGCTTCAATCATCGAACACAGGATCCTATTACAGAGACTACAACGTGTCATTGGCATTAAATAAACTGCACTAGGCTGGTGTAATTCATACTTAGATAGATTCGATTCGAGTTTGTTGGAGGTTTCTTCCTGTTAAAAGGAGTTTTTCCTCCTCGTCACCAAGTGCTTGCTCTTTGTGGGAACTGTTGGGTTTCTCTCTATAATAAAGTAAGGTCTTGACCTTACCCTGTAAAGTGCTTTGAGATAATGTATATTATGATTTGGCACTATATAAATAAAATTGAATTGAAATTGAACCTGCACAGAACACTTACCTTGCAGCAACCATTGCAGCTACCACCATACTGTAACTCCTAAGCCAACAGTGCAACTGCTGTTACAAGAAATGTGTCAAAAAAACATGTCCTGCGATCACAACAGGACGGTTGCTGGACCTGTAGAAAGTAGTGGCCGCTGCTTCAAACCAAGGGACCTCAGAGGACCCATACATGCACAGCTGCATCACTTTACAGATGCCAGCAACCATATTTATGGCACAGTATCTTATGTGAGGTTGGATAACCTGGAGAAGAAGGTACTTAAATTTATGTTGGGAAGCAACAAATGCCAGAGGTGGAATGGCCAAGACTATTTGATCTACAGCCTATTTCCTCTAAAGATCCAGAGGTCAAAGGGGATAAATATATTGGCAAATGTCATCATCACAGATTCAGAAAGTGCAACCACCAAATTCATGAACTATTTTCCTAAGTGGGCTAAACTCAAGATCTCTGTCGCTTGGTTCCGTAGGCTCAAAACTATTCTTCTGGAGCCAAGGAGAAAGAGGAAGGAAATTGTGGCTCTAACTGTTGCTGGCTCATCCAAACAACTAGAATAATTAAAAGAGGAGATGGCAATGGAGATGCCATTGGTAGTCAACCACTATCTGTAAGTGACCACTCCAGAGGAGAATCTGCCATCATCCGCTTCAGTCAGCAAGCCACGTTCAGCGAAGAAAACTCTTGGTTGACTGTCCTTGAAGTAACTTTGTTTGTTTGTTTTTTGGAAAGTGTAGCAAGTGTAGTGTAAGGAAAACCAGTGATATCTACAGATTATATCCTATGTTGAACTATGATTTGTTTAGAATTTGCGGAAGACTCAGTCGGACAGCCTAACCTGAAGAGCGGAAACATCCTGTAATAATCTCCAAGCATCAACATGTATCCAATCTCATTCTGTGATACATTCACCAACATGCTGGGAGAAATCATATGCTCTCCACTTTGGACGAAATTACTGGATTACAAATGCCAAGTCTGCCTGCCGAAAGATAATATCAGACTGTGTGGTTTATCGACAGGACAGCCAAGTTAAAAGAAAATGGCTGACATGCCAAAGGAGAGAATTAGTCCAGACTTGTCTTCTTTTACTAACGTAGGAGTGGACTACTGCGGGCCCATTGAGGTTAAGAGAGGATGTGCTATGGTCAAAAGGTATGCGGCCATTTTTACCTGCATGTCTAGCAGAGTTGTACATTTGGAGATTGCTTACTCTCTGAATACTGACTTCTGGATTAATGCCATAAGAAAGTTCTGGTGTGACAGAGGCCACGTTTGTCATTTGTGTCAGACAACACCACAAATTTTGTTGGAACAGAGCGAGAGTTAAGAGAAGCTTTGGCTCTGTTGTATTCTCATAGCAAATCCCCTAAACAAGATGTTATTTTTATTCAGGAGAACCTGCTCTAAATTACAAAAAATAAAATAGAGAATAAACAAGGGTGTCATGAAATGGAGGCGAGAAATAAAAAATGTCTTTTGATTTGTAATGCTGTTTACATGAGGTAAAGGTCGGTCTCATCTACAGCTCAGCTCCCTTTGGATTTGTCGTCCAATTAACAGTGTATGGCTCTCCAAGGGGGACTGGCAGGAAGACTGAGCAGTCAGTAATTAGTCTTCTCTCTCCCCAGGACATGACAGCAGTATTAACACATGGGGCCGTCAGGGAGACGACTAAAAGCTGAGCCCACATCCTTCCTCCCAGAGGGGGCAGGAATAGGTGCAGTCATCCTGTCAGGTCAGCTGTCGAGCATCTGAATATATGGCTGCAGAAACACTATAGCTGCTGTTAAACAGTTTATCAGAGAAAAGTTCCCTGTTCCACTATTTCAGGAAAGCTTTTCATGAATTTGACACATTACAACCATTTCAACCATTACATTACAGCCTGGTCTTTCTGTATTGTGACCAAAGTCAGTCAATTGCTGTATAAGCATGATATTTCTCAGGAAATAAAAATCCATCCCTCTTACTCTCTCTCCCTTGGTCAGAAGTCAGGATCAGATTCAATGGCAACGACTGTTAGGCAAGGTGAGGTGGGGGTTCAAGTCTCAGTCAAGGACACCTGAACAGGGGGTTTTGCCCACATGGAGACATTTAACTTGACTCCTGCAGTCTCCCCACACACCCTGCTGTGGTGTTAACAGGTTTATTATTATAATACACAAACAGTTCTCAAAGATTTATTGCAACTAGGGGACTGACTTATGCTTCCCGTGCTTGTGAGCTATGAAATGAAACATCACTTTATACACTATATGTCTCAGAGTAGAGTCTCAGTTCTCTGGTTTTCCTGCTTCTGGGGAGAGCTGTTATTATTCACAGATGCTGCAGTGTATGAAGGAACATGCTGTACATACTGTAAATCGTCCAGCTGAAAGGCATGTTTCTCTACTGTGATCTCCAGCACTGCAACTACAACAGTCCTCTGGTGGTAATTACAGCCAAACCCTCTTGTTAAGACCATGTGATTCTCCATTAAGTGGGAATTAATTGTAGTCTGCTCGAGATAGCAGTTCAGTGATCACAATACAGTGGTCAGTACATTTTGTTGTACTGTTACACTATTGTTCTTGAATGTATTTCATGTTCTGTAGATTAGGAACTTTATTTTGAGTATAAACTGAAAAGCTGGAGTAGTAAAAGCACAATGTGATAAACCCGCAGTCTACACAGTCACTGTTAAAGAGGGTTGTTTCTTATACCGTGTTTTTATATCTGAAACACTATTGATCAGTTGTACTTAATGGGCTGTGAAAGATTGAAAACAAATTTATAATTTTCCTTTCACTTCCATCAATTGATGATTTAAGTCCCATGTTGCTTCTCACTTGCCTTTTATTTTTCAACTCCTTGGTTTTCATATATTCTGTTACACATTTTAAATGTATCATTCTAAATCCTTTTTGCTTATACCAAGCATGTCTAAAATATAAAATATAATACAGTATATATCACTGTTCCTGCACAGCAGAAAGATCATTGGATATGCCTATCAGAGTCGCTGTGTATTACAGTAATATTATGGTATGACCCTATAGATTTCAGTGATATGATAATTTGATATAAATATTTAACTGGGTGTTGTCTGCCTCCAACATCACTCCTGCAGTTGCTCTAATCTTTATTCACGGCTGATGTTTGATCTCCTCAAACTGGACATGAAAGACATACTCAGACACTTCTTATCATAATATAACCAACAAGGAAAATAAGAAATAATGTGCAGGCAAAATGGGAAACAGATAACAGACTTATTTTACACAGGTTATTTAGATGTGAATCGGCAATGTCATACCTTAATGTAATGCAGCTGTAAATGATGTTGACTTTTACAGCTGTATTTAGTATGCATCAAATTACAAACTGACCCCTGTCTGAAGCCTCCTGCAACAAAAGATCCACACTTGACACTCCTCTGCAAAGATATTATACAAAATACTGCTGCACACTATAAAAAATTGCCAAAAGAAAGCCTGAGATGCATGTTATATTTTCTTAAAGCTTAGCTATCCTGAAGTGAAACTAGTTTAAACAGGTTTGCTAATTTATTTTATTGTAATGAGATGTTACTGTAGCCTCAGTATATGTATGAAGAAAAAAATAAACAAAAATAAATACTGGACTTCATGAAACGATTCTGGTCATGATCAGGAGCACGAAAACGTGTTTAGGAAATCCCTATTTTTAATTGACTTCTTTTACTTCCATTAATAAATGTCAATACTAACTTCAAACAAGGGCTCTGACTGAGGGGCCCCTTGATCCCTTGAGGCCCCTAGGCCTGTGCTGTGCCTGATGGGACTATTCAGTAATTTAATCATGCACATAGACATCTGAAATGTGTCAATGGGCCTGGACTAGTCAAAGATTTTAGTAAAGGTGGTGACAACCAGAACCAACGGTTTAATCTTTAACTATCTATTTCAGTTAAATGTCCAAAACCAGATGACTTACAGAAGGCTAAATGTGGAATTTATAGGGCTCCTGGGGGTTGGGGCCCGATTGGTGATGCAGCCTTTTGGGGGAGTGAAGCAGTAGTTTAACGGTTTCTTAATTTAGTTGCAGTCAGTGACCCTTAAGTGCTTTAACTGTAGCATCCTCCAGGCCTCCAGTGCCTCATACAGACGAGCTGGCGGTCAGTCTTGAATAAAAACTAAATTTATGCCGATGACAAATCCCACGTGGCTCTGCAGAGATAAATAAAGCCAAACTAGACTCTTCTACTGCTCCTCTGTTGCCTGGTGAGCGTGAACGCGCTTGGATCCACGGGCTGCTGGAGAGAGAGAGAGAGAGGGGGGGAGAGGGGGAGAGAGCTGTTGTGGACGCGCCGGCCTGTGAGCTTGTGGTGGTGGTGGTGGTGGTGCTGTTGGTGTATGTGGGAGCAGGAGGAGAGACTCTGCAGTGTCTTGGCAGCTGCATTCGTGCATCTCCCATCGTCCGCGATGCCTCCACGGCCAATGCCTGCCTCCTCCGCGTCCACTTGACAATAGAAACCGACATGAACTCGTCAGGAAACTGAGCCGGAGGTTCACACCACAGCTCCTCGTTTATATGTCCCCGGAGACAGTCCGGAGCGCTTCATTCACGCACCGAAACCCCGTGACGAGAATATTTTTTTAATGGAAAATGGCGATAGGCAAAAGGTCTTGCAGCATCGTCTGCTTGGTATCTATCCAGATTATCTTGATTTTCAGCGCATCGTGGCCTGGAGCAGCGGCTCTCACATTCCCCCAGCAATACACGTAAGTAATAGGCACCCTGATTGAAAACATAGCGGGGCTCTGATGGGAGACAACTTTGGGCTTGTCCACTCAGCTCTGTTGCCAGGAGATACTTCAGTCATCCTGTTTTATTTTTTGCCGTTATATAATTTGACAGTGTTGGCGATTACATCAATGTAAACGCTGGGTATTTAAAGCTCAGGGCTCTGTAAGGTGTAGTCCACACTATGACTGGGCATACATGAGAAAGCTATTGAGATCATTTACAGGCATATATTGTTTTAGTTAAACAGAAGAGCTCATTATCAAGTTGGTCTTAATATTAGATATAAATAGTAGGATTTGGACAATAATTTATATGCTCCGTTACCATATGATTAGTTCTAGCCTTCATTTGAAATTCCCTGAACAGTTAAAGCTATAGAGCAATTGGTATATTTCCTAAAAATGTGATGTTGATATCATTCAACATTACACTCATTACCCTAATGTTTTTCCTTTAATGTTAAATCTGGGTGTCATTAATTTAAAAAAAAAAAATAATGGCAGTGATGGGGGCAGTGATGTGAAGTGAGACTTTACTTTGAGTAAATGAATGCCAGTGAAGGAATAGGTGAGGTTGACCATGGCTTTAATTAGTTTAAGTTGTCAGAGACTCTATATTTGGCAGCTACCATCAAGTCTGTGCAATTGTTGCAAAACTGAGGAGGGTTTTTTTTTTCTTTTCTTTTTTTTCCCCCTCCTCTGTGTTCCCCCTGCTGTTCTTGTGCGCCAGTACTAGATTTTTCCATGCATGCTTTCAAGTAAAGAGCAAAACATTTATTTCATTTTGTGAAACACCCGCCTTTCGTACAACCTTTTGAGTCAACCAACAGTACCATAATAGCTACTAGTAGTACTGCATGCCTCAGTAGTACTAGTAGTAGGTCTACTACATTGGATAGAAGAATAAAGGTGTGGTTTTTTTTACTGTGAATACTGGCTGAATTCCTGCATTTGAAGCATTCCTCTTTTTTTTTTTTTCTTTTTTAATCAATCACGTGCTTAGTTCTTCATTCTTAACCTTTAACCCATTACTGTTAAGTACAGCTGGCACTTAAGTTGAGACTGCAGTTATCCGGGCCCACCTCCAGGCTCTGCAATCAGGCTGCTCTGGAGGGAGGAACAGGCCAGATGGTCCACTCATCTTCGGGGCACACAGTGAGGGATTTCTGGCCAATCACAACTGGAGAACCAAGATGTATTTACCAATTAGGAACGGGGGTCTATAAATCTGGGAGGTGTGCGTATGTGTGAATTTCATGATGAATTGGGTTATTTCAAGTAGGGTATAGCTGCTGCTTTCTCCTCCTGCTGCTCCTCCTCCTCCTCCTCCTTTGCACGGATTTTTCTGCTGAGTGCTCTGAAACAGCTACACAGCCCTCTGCCCTGGGTCTCTTCATGTAAGCTAAATGAAGCAGAATCGCTACGCTGAAGAACAGCATCTCATTCCAATTAAGAATTAATACTGCAGCAGTGAGGATTTATTCCCCTTCTCCCTCTCTCACTTCGCCCTTTCCACTCCCGCCCCTTCTGTCTTGACTCTGCCTCGTGCTTTCTGTCTCTGCATATAGATAGATAGATAGATAGATAGATATTTGGCAATATTGGAGAATATGGGGAAAATCATTGTTGATTAGAGTGGAAATCCATTTAGTAAATCACGTTAACTTGATTGACTGCTTCATTTCCACTTGGGAAATGAGGCTGTAACTTTATTAACCAATAAGTGTGGGAAATGCATGACCATCAGTAGAAAAATGTGGAATACACCTAAAGCTGGATGAATCGGACTCATATGGGAACAACAAACGAACAAGAGTGTTCTGATGCGAGCAAGGCTGTCAGTGTTAGCAAGATTTATTCTACAAAAACAATTAGTAAAGTGCAACGTGTGTGGAGGTTGAACAGAGGCAGGAAGAAAAAACGGTTGATGCTCAACTGGTGAGAAGAAACACATGAAAACACAAGCAACATGTAATCAATGTACAGTGATCTAAAACAGTGGAGCAGCGAATACTCACATTTTTGGCATTTGTGCTTCATAACTGACACTTTTTTTTTTTTTTGTTGATTAGGTTTCTGTTGATTGACAAGACAGTTAAATCTAGTACTTGTTGCAGCACTGCTTGTTTTTGGTTAAATTTGTGGTTCAAGTCAGCACTGGCTTTTTATTTTTTTTTATTTTTTATTTTTTTTAAACCAAACATCATGTTTCTACAGTGGCCCTGAGAGCTCAACACTGCAACTCAATAAAACACATGCAAATACACAAAAGACAAGTAAATTTAGAAAACATCTTCATCAATTTGACAACACAACCAAATACAGAAACATGTTGTACATGTGTGAAATTGATGGAGACATTTTCCTGAATTTGCTGTGTTTTCTTAAGTTGTAGTGCGTTGAGCTCTGAAGGCCACCATATGTTCCCCTAACCTAAGCATTGTGCTTTGAGCTGTCTGAACATAATCATAAAAATGTTCATTACAGTTTAGTTGTGGGGAAATAAAAGAAATGTCAAGGCACCTGGTTAACACACACACATGCTGAGGAAGGCAGAGTCCAAACGTCTTGTTTGTGTAGTGGACTTTTGCCAAATATTTAATAACAAGACTGAGAGTTTGTAGCCATGCTAACAGCTCTGTGAGACTACAGCAGTGCTTTCAGTTGAATTCTACTGTCGGCATGCCAACATGCTCACAATGACATGTTGGTGTTAACTATGTTTATCATGTTAGCCATGTTTATTGTGTTTGAATCCTATCATTTGCCACTTAGCACAAAATATAAAATAAAACAAGTACAAAAGGTATTGGAATAATAGAAATACCAGTTCATCTTGAGATAGACATGAATGTATGAAACAAATTCTTGACAGTCCATCCAACAGTTGAAACTTTTCATTTGAAACCATGAATGTGAACCTCAATAGAGGAAAAAAATCAAGAGATCAACAAAGTCAGTAGAATTCATCGCCTGAGGACCGCCAATGTCCGCACAAGATTTCATGTCCAATCCATCCAGTTGCTGCTGAAATATATCAGTCTGGAACCAATGTGGTGGACTGATAGACTCGACACTGCCGTCCCTAGAGCCATGCCCCTTACATTGCTAAAATTGTAACTGGGACCGCATTATGCTTCCTACAAAACATATTTACTACTGCAAGTGAATATCAATTGAATTTTTAGGAGGCTATGGTTCTAAATAGATAAATTGATAGAACCCATACACATAAACCTCTAAATGTCTCCTCTACCTGCCTCCACCTATCGCTCTGCTGCTCCACCCTCTCAACCTCTCATTCTCTCCACTGTAAGTGAATATGGGTCACGTCACGCAGAGCTCCTCTCGCTCTTGTCCCAGGGGTGTGTGAGAATAGCAGGTAACAGAGTAGAAGCACAAGCCGCCTCATCGCAGCACTGCGATACAGACTTTTCTGATATCCCTCTCTAGAGGAGAGCAAATGGAGCACACGATAAAAAAACTTGGGTTTGTGCTTTAGCTGCACTGACTCACACAGCTAAAGCTGCTCTGCAGTTCTGTGGGCTACAGTCATGTAAGAAAACTGGCACATACTAATGTAATAGTTTATGTTAAAGATCCTATTTGACCTATTTCAAGGATTAAAGATAACACTGAAATGTAAGTTTCCCTAAATGTAGAGAGGCACTGAATAATAATCCTAAATGGTAGTCCTAAGTGACACTGAGACAAGTCCACTCTCAATGTATTTTATATCAGAGACAGCAAATCTGATAATGTCAGAAATTTAATTCTCACGATGTTATTGGTGCTATAAACCACATCTACAAACGAACAAAGCACTGTTTATGTGTTAAGTAAAAAAAACTTTTTGCTGCAACCGAGGGCAAACTGCTTTGTTTAGCTGAAGCCTGAAGAGGGCAGTTTGCTGAAACATTTTTTGCAGCAGTTTCAAAACGTAGGCGGTGCAGATGGATGGTGTAAATTCATGAAGCATTTGTTGCATCTGACATGCTTCAAAATTGATATTGCACAGTGTGACACAGTTTGCGGTCGAGATTTTATAGAACCCATTTTGCGCATGTAATGATCCTGTAAGTCTGTACATGTACTCCTCTCTTACACGTTATAGATTTTCCTCTCTGTGAGGATTGCTGATGTTATCACTAAATATGCACACGTGAAAACTTATTTTGATGAGAGATCAACAGACTGTGTAAAGTCAGACTGTTCAGAGAATAATCCCGAGATCACCTGTGAAAGTTTCAAGGATATTTTTATTTTAGATATATTTCTACCAAACATATAAGAATTGTGTGAAAATGACAAGATGCTGACTCGCCATTGTTCCGTGCAATGTTTTATATTTGGAAAAGTGTCTCCGTGGCAGGAACTGTTCATTTATCATTTCATAAAAACATTAGATCAGCCAAGGTGGCCTTGGTTTCAGCGCTCACAGTAATAACATTAACGCATTGGCCTATGACAGCTTAATAGAAAATTAAGCTCAATGACAACTGGAGTATGTTTTTGAAATAGTTTATCAGGCAATGCATATGTTTCCTGATGGTTACTACATTCACAGTTGTCACCACGGAGAAGGAAAAAGCTGCTCCCTGCTGCAGCTCTTTTTCACTTACTGCCTCAAACTGAAAATAATTTCACTTTTAAATAGTGCTGTGGTCGTCAAAGACTCTTCATCAGGCATTCAATCATGTCTTTAATGGGCCCTCAGAGTGATAGTCTTGATGTTGCTGGATAGCTTACATCTTAGTTTTTCACACCGTTCCCTTAACTTGGCATTTTGTAGAAACCCAGAAGTAATGTTCTACTTCAGTGTAAAAAGTCTAGTCCTGTACTGAGGGCTCTCTATTCATCTTCAGGTCCGACAGTGTTTCACGCCCTAAGTTTCAGCTGATACTAGCATCAAAAGAGAAAGGGAAAGCTTGGCAACATCCAAAAAAAGTTGTGTCTTGCTGTGGATCTGGACAGTTGAGTTGAGATTTGTGACTCGTCTGACACTAGAAACAAGCTCGACAAGACTTTAATCTGTGTTGCTGTCTCGTAACTCTGCTGGGAGCTGTCTGACTGATAATGGATCGACTCTGTGGGCACTTACAGGATTTTCTCGGTATTAAGATTTATTTCCCTGGTTCAAACTAATTTAGGTAAAAAGCTCAAATAAATGTTTCACCACCCCAAAGAGTTCTTTTAATTCTTTTGGCCATGCAGACGGAACTGTAGGATCATCTGATCAGCCAATGAGTGAAGGTTGAAACACTGGAAGGAGCCAGGTGAACGGAGGGAGCTAGGAATCTTTAGTGAGGCTACGACCATTCAGTGATCCTCAGGGTATCTCGAGGATAGGGTGGCAAATTCTGAGCATACAGGGAGTCTGTAACATAAATAGTATAGTATTTACTCATCTTTAGAGCATGTTTAGCATCTAAGCAGTTCTGTTCCCTGTGGCGTCAATGTTGCATAAATGCACTGAATATGAAAGACACTGGTTCTTATACCGCAGTGTGCTGCTTGTGTTCTGATAGGTTGTGTAGGATTGTCTGTGCTGCTTTGAAGTTGCAGATTGGGATGTGATTATGCCACAGTATCTGTCACTGAGAGCACATTTTAGAGGAAGACAGTCAGAGCAATGAAGGTAGTGTGATACCGTTTTTTGTTTCATTGATTCAAAATCATCATGGATGGATGGCACACTGTATTTATCAAAAAATTTTCCACAGAGACATTGTGGAAAATATGTGGTTCTGTAGAGTTCCCATTATGTTTTCCCGTTATATATTTTTCTTTAAATGATATCTTCAGTATTAGTGAACCAGACTCCCCTAGATGATGTAACAACCCTGTAGGTTAATGCTGTAGCCAGCAGTTTTATTTCATCTTCGAGAAATTTTGTTTGTCATTTTGGTGTGATGGATGACTCTAACTACGACAATACCCATGAGCCCTGAGCCACTAGTCTTTGTGCTTGTTTTATGTCTGTTTATCGTATTGCGTGGAAGAAATGCGATTTTGTGCCCCTGTAAACTGAACATTGTATATGGCATATGGTATATGTAATGACTACATTGTACCATGAGAAAAATCCAGTCAGAGGCATCAGAGTGGTAGCTAATTAAAAATGCATCATTGGTGCAGTTGGGAAGAAAACATATAAAGTCGTTGAATTCAACCAATATTAACACAGAATCCAAAAGTGAATTGATTTAATCTCCATGCTGTAAAATCAATTTCCTCAACAGTGAAATCTTCAGCTGCCGCCTGCTGTTACCGGCGAATGTAATAGAATTTATTCAGACTTTATAGTGATCATGCATTATTCCAAGGTGGTTGATGCTAATGCTAACAGGCTAGACTAGCTTCCTTTGTTGTGCTACATTGTTTGTAGCAGTGCATTACCAAGTGAAATTGGACACAAACATAATCAGAGAAACATAACACTTATAAAATGATCTGAATTCATTTGTATAAGTGCTAGTATTGAATTTTATTTTGATGTCCCTGTTAGCTGCATTTGCAGCCATTCTGCCAGCAGTTTGTATATATGAGAAGTGTTTACAGGGAACTTGAAACAACAATTAGTTGTAATTAAATGTTTTCTCTCATATAATTGTTTTTTATCTTTAAACAATTCAATGCAGAGAAAGAGTGATAAACATTTTTGTATTATTTCAATGAGCTGGCTAAATTCTCTGACCCTACATGCCTCCCGTCTTTGTCCCACTTCCATCTGACCTTGTGATTGTTTGGAGTAGTCCACACCTGAGGCTGTGGTCACTGGCAGGTCAGGTAAATCTCAAAAGCTTGTTAACCAGTTGCAGTTGTTTTCTGAATGTGATCTAAATAGAAATAGATTTTACTCTGTGAGATTTTACTTACAGAAAAGATTTATATCTGTATTTTTATTGAAAGGAGAAAAAACTTAAACTGCAAATTTCTATTTTCGGGACACTGGCAAGAAAGCAGCTGGCCTCTAAAGATTCATCGTGAGTTTCCTTTTATGTCACTTCAATGCTTGACGTTTCTCCCTGTTAGTTTACATTCTAAAAATAATGAAATTGATCTAGAAGGAAAGAGAAGATGGTGTTTCTGAAGGAGATACTAAATCCAAGTGCATTAAACAAGTCCAGTATGGTTTTCTGGACATGTTTCTAATGCAAGTTGGAAAGTAAAAGTGTCCCAAAGCAATATATACTTGCAGTACATATTTTGAATTTGGAGAATCAGAAGCCCTTTATTGGTCTGTGCGTCCTCAGTTCGTTGTTAAAGCCTCTTCAACATCCAGGAGGATGTTTGTGTGGGCTGGGAGGGAATTAGCTGCTGGGGCCACGTGTGCTGATATACTGCTGGCTTGTGGTTCTGGCATTTCTGGTGTGTGTTCGCTGGTGGGTGTAATTAATGTGTTGGAGTTGACATTTAACAGAGAGATTATTAGGAGTGCTGCTGCTCTTGGAATCATATTAATTAAATATCCAGATAGCCAAACCTTTTATTGGTCAAAAATGTTCCTGTTGATACTGGCAGTGCCCCATCATCAGGTGCAGTGGTTGTTGTTGTTGTTGTTGATATCGATATCACTGGTTTTTCCGCTGCTGACTTTGATGAATTCTCAACACACTGTTTCACTACCCCAGTCTGGGGACTCACTCTTAACAAATCCAGCTCATGTTGTGAGTGTTTGTGTGTCCTGTAGTGAATGTTGCGACATTACAAAGGAATTTGCACATCATAAACAAAATCTTTAGGATGAAAAGTGGGGAAGGAACTGACAGACTTCTATTGTAAAGGATGGTCATCCAGCTGGCTGAAGAATAGGCAAGTGGTTTATTATAGTGGGTTATGTTAAGCCTTTTTATGATATACAGTAGATATCATGTCCTCTGAATAACTTAACAATTTTTTTCTGAATAGAACAGTAACTTTGTCCTTGTTTAGATCATTTAACCAGGTGATTAGAAATACAACGTTACGTTTCTACATTTCTATCATCAAACGTTAAGAATTTTGAATATATTTTTCAGACAAAACAGATTGTAAATATAAATTTGGAGTCCTCTGATATAACTGAACACAAAGTAGAATTGTATAAAATCAGGTTTTGGCCAAATATAGCACTGTAATGTACTGTAATACTGTACTGTAAAATTGCAATGAGTGACATCTTCAGAGAAAGTTGTGTGTGGATTTTGTTTGGGGCAAAAGCCTCATCTTCTGGTTCAGAACAGTGTAGGAAAAGATGGACTCAACCATAAACAGAAAATAACCTTCATTTGACTGCAGTTCATTGTCTGAACAGCAGCTTGACAACAAAAGATCATCAAAAAGCCATGACATAATTCTCATTTTCAGCTTTAAGGTGTTCTGCTCAGAGATTGTTAAATATGCGTACATGTGCAGTACAGTATACCTCTCCCTCTCGCCGCTCACATCACAGTGGATGTTTTATTTATTCTGGCTCATTAGTTGCTCTGTCTCTGACATTGTGACAAATTCCAGTTGCATCAAGTAATGCGCGGCTGCCACCGCAGATTTTAAAAAGCTATTTACGTACCGAATAATGATGTAGCAAATGGTATATATTTCTTTGCTTTGGAAATATCCTTTCACAGAATTATGATGATTAGTCAACAAAGCTGATTAGGTGGTGTTAGTAAAATCTCAGGGCTTACTCTCAACTTTAAAGATGGATGCAGCTCTTGTAAGCTTCTTTTCTGTTGCTGAACTGGTGTAATCAGTGGTAATAAGACGAATGGTTGTATTATTTTCTTGAAGCGATATTGCTGATAGGTTACCAGTCAAGTTTTCCTGCATGTGTCTGTAATGTCTGGATCACAGGAGCCTTTTTTATTGTGTAGGTTGCAACTTAGAAGCACATTTTGTATTCATTTAATACATTTTAAAACAATATTCATTTATTTATTAATTTATTTCAAGGAGAGCCAAAAGAAGTAATCCTCTAATTTACAGAGTACGGTTGTCTCTTTGAAGCCGTTTGTGTTTTAGTTTTTTCTTAAATGAAGCACATTTTCATAATTTGTGTTGTGATCCTTGCAGTGCTAAAAGCTATTTTTGTTACAACACCACTGCATACTTCTGTAAAACACACACACACACACACACACACACACACACACACACACACACACACACACACACACACACACACACACTCTTATCTTTTTCATTTGTCGAAGTTGTGTGACAATCAGCCTTTGATGTTTATCCACAGGATAATGCACTGGGCCAGACGCATCGAGCAGGAGATTGACAGAGTCTTTCAGCAAATCACTGGAGCTCAGCAGTTGAAAGGGGTGAGTGTGTAACTCTCTTTTTTCTTTCTTTTTTTTTTTTTTTACATTGTACAGGTCTTACTCCTCATAGTGCTGCATAAACTCAATTAGAAGGCACAGAGCAGAGAAGTCAATGTGCAAGACAGCTGTAAATCCATTAAGTTAGAGCTAAGGCGAAATAAGTGCATAAAACAGGAAAACAATCACAGTCTGCCTTTTAGAAACCACTTTGTTTCTTCTTTCATGATTTTCTGGGACACCGTGTAGAGTAATGAACAGCCAATAACATAATGTTTTTGTTTTCCCAGGACAGACATAAAACTCTCTCTGAAAGCTGTTATATTCAGCAGTTTTCAAAATGTATGCTCTGCTTTTTAGATGTTGTGGCCAAATTTTGCTGGCACTTCTATTGTTTGCAATGATTATCAATCTTGAACACATTGTACGATTTCTTTGAAGCTAAAGGGCTGCCTGAACACAGGCCAGCAGTGGTTAGATTTAGAATATCTAGAGTAATGCTTCATGAGGTCATGAGTTTTTCAACTTAAACATTCATGAATATTAATCCAGACCTTTCACAAGCTGACCATGTATTGCCTGTGTTAAGTGTTAATGGCAGAATGGCTCATCTGTCACTGTTTTCATGCACATGACACGTATCCGTCACCAAGCTCCCAGTTAGAAGTCATTTCATATTCACATCTGGTGCATTTTCACATTACGTTTTACATTACATACAGTAAGGTAATCTGATTCCTGCTGCCCTGCAGTAACCTGATTTTCAAACCATCATACCCTGTAAATGAGAAACCTGGTTTCTTTATTGAGGTTAAATGGGCTCAACTCCAAACAGTTATTAGATTTCTAACATGACATGGTTTTAGAAAGAGATGTTTCTGTTGAAAACTTAAAAAAGCATAAGGTTGGTGATATTCTCATTTATTTCAAACTGTTGACAAACCTCATGAAAAGGTAAAAACCAACACACACTTCCTCGCAGCTCCAAGTCCATTGGTTCCAACTGAAGAAATCTTTACAAACAGCTCACAGGTCATTTAAAAAAAATAAAAAGGATAAATAGTTGGGCATATGTGTTTTCAGCAAGCAAAATGCCTATGAAATAATGCATTTGTGGGGACAGCTCCATTTTAGTAGAGAAATTTAAGTACAACAGTACAAGTGATAAAATATATTTTTTTTTAATTTGTTATTTTATCAAACTCCTGTAAGGGGAAAAGACAAATCTAAATTAATCAGCATTAATCAATAGTTGTCAAGTATTTGATGGTTACAGTTCCTCAAATGTGAGGATTCTTTTTATTTTATAATACTACACGCAACAGAACCGATCTTTGTGGAAGAAACTGAAAACTTTAAACCACAAAATGATAAGTTTCAACCACATATACTGAAAACTGGGGGGTGTCCAATTTCCTGTTTCCTGTTTTCTCTCACAGTAATGTCAACATTGTTGTCCATTGTTGGGGAATACATGTCTCACTCATCAGGATATCATTTACCTGTCGTATCCAACAAGTATCGGGGTTATTTCACATCCTCACTGTAACAGGTGGCTTGGAGTGAGGGTTGTCCCTGAAAAGGCGAATGCCAAAAATCAGGACCAAAGATCATCTGCAGGGGGCAAGAGAACCGTGCTCTGGGAAGATGTGTGGGGGCGTTCCCTCAGCAGAGAGCGGCAGCACGTGTCCTCTCTGTTTGTGTCACAGCAGAGCAGATGGTCAGCCTGCAGCCTGCAGTAATGCCTTGATGTGAGACTCACTTGTTCATTCTGTCCTCATTAATCCGTCCATGCTCCTAAACCACTCTGGTTCTGTTAAGAAATTGTTCTGCTCTGCCTGGAACGCTCCGCGCAATCTTCTCTTGTTGAGGAAATGCCTGAAATTCAAATTAAATGTCATTTTCAATTCCTCAACCATAAAGCCATGATAATTTTGATATGTCTCTGTGATACAGCCCGCGCTCGACATTGGACATTCAACATCAGCATGCTAACGTGCACACAATGACAATGTTAACAAGCTGGTGTTCAGAAGGTATGACATTTACCATGTTCAAAATCTTAGTTACGCCTGTAAGCATGGGAGCGGATCACTATTCTGTCGACAAATACCAACCATCCTATTGTGTTTGGGTCAAATTTGAGGTTGTGTTGTGCAGCCACTGGCAACTTCAGAGTGGTGAAGAATTGTTTTCCTGTAAATAGTTTAAATGTTTGCCATTAGCAAAATGTCAGCAATTTGGCGATATGTGATTTTAAGGGCAAAAAATGACGTAATTATAAATAACTGCAGAAGTAAATAATTAAATACATAAATAAATGCATAAATAAATGGATTTTAGTAATGAAAAATGCTACTTCTACATATCCCCATTTATTCATTTATTTATTTCTGTGTCTGTACATTAATTAGGACGGCGGTCCTACCTTAGTCTAAAGCCAGATTGGTTATGGCAGTGTGATCGATTGGATGAATCTACTGCTACTGCTTTGTGAGCTGTGTTTCAGTCACTGTTTTAGACTTGTTTCTTTGTCTGACAATGGAAACAGAAAAACATGTAAATGAGAAGAGCTTTATTGGAAATTCAGCAGTATTAAAATACTGTATATGTGAGCACAGAGAGAAGGAGAGATGCAAACAGATAAAGGGCTGAAAACCGGGTGTTACAAGGCTGAGTGTGAATACGACATGATCACGCACATATAGAAATATATACATAAATAAATCTAGAAATGCATGACTAAATGAATAAATATATAAATAAATAATTAAATAATGCAGAAATAAATAAATAAATTAAAGTAGAATGTATGATTAAATAGAAAAATGTAAAAATACAGAAATAGCATTTTTCATGATCAAAATGTATTTATTTTGCATTCATTTATGTATTTAATAATTTATTTTCTTTCTTTATTTATTTATACTTCTGCCATTTTTTGTCCTTCATACACAGTTCACAGAAACACACTGTTCATTACTGCATGTTCCCATCTGTGCAGCGTGGGCCAGTAAAGCATCTGGTCAGTACACGACTTGAGGGATGTCTTCAATTTCAATTTGTGAAGTCCATTTATAGGTTGAGGGCTGTCACATGGTATGTATGCAGGTTTGCCAAATGTATTTATCCAGGTCACTGTCTCCACTCCTGTCCTGTCTTCATCTTCTGTCTGACGTCTGTCCTCATAGTGAACAGAGTGTGATGGGCTAAAACAACACTAGATACCAAGGCTTGATTTTTTTTTAATTTTTTCTTTAGATTTTGGAGCTCAAGGCATTAAAATTATTGCTTTGTGCTCCTGTTTGTGATAAAACATGTCCTGAGCAGGTGGAAACTTGCATCCACTTCACTTCCTGATCTGGCTTATTTCGAGCCATTATCAAACATTTCATATACTGTGTGAACCTTGACTGTCTTTTCACCTTGGTTGGCTTATGCAGTTACAATGTTATTCATTCTGAGTTGGAATGAGCTTGAAACAAAACTGAATAAAAAAAAATATGCCTATAACAAAAATATTACAGGAGGTTTACTCCATGCAGCATTATCTGCTTTCACTCTAGTGTCACTCCCAGATGTCTCCTGATGACCTTAAAGCTCTCAAGTGTAAGACATCATGAGGAATAGTTTGCAAGGCCATATTTCAGATCCTCTAAAGTTAACTGTGATGTGCTTCCATGTGTGGTCTAATTTAACTCCAGGCCCTCTGGAGAAGAGCATTAAGAACATCATCTGGGCAAATCTGGCTCTTTCAGTTTGCAGAAAGCTTTAGACCCAAGGACAGAGTTATTCTTCCCAGCCATGGAGTCTAGTCAGATGAGTGGTTTCAAATGGGTTTGTATATACACATAAAAAATATGTCATTTCTTTGGTAGTTTTTATTTTCATTGGAACACAAAATAAACCTCAATCTAAGGAACAATCAGCCTCTTATATGAAACGATATCACAGGCTGTTGCACTTCAAGTCTCACATTCAACCAGGCAGCTCGACAGGATTTTAAAGGTGGTCCAAACCTCATAATCATCTCACACTGACTTTATTGTACAAAGTCATGCTTTGGCTCTGTGATGTTATATTGTTATTACAGACCACAGAAAACGTCTTCCATTATTACACAAGTGTGTTTTTTTTCATGTAGCAGTCACATGAGTCAATGTGTTATCTTTGATTTCGAAATGCTCCTTTTAGAGAAATGTCATGTTTTGATCCGTCAATAACCAGATTGTTCTTTTATTTTAAAGAGCTGAAGAAGATAACCTTAACATGGATACTTTTACTTTATGGCTAAAAGAATATCTGCCACATGGTGTCAGCATCATTTAGGAATAAAACTCTGTGATTCCTCGGTGAAAACTATTCCAAAGACAACAGACATTGTGTGTGGATAGATTACATGAAAGGAGCCATATTTAGATTTGGATTGAACATACAAACACAACAACTGACTATTCCCTTGTGTCGGTATTTAAATATAAAAAGGATTTGCTTTTGCAAATTCATGAGCTTTGAATAATAAGGCTGTGTCTGCTTTCAGGAATGCTCTCTGAGATGTTGCAATTCAGATTTTCCCTTTTTGCATCTACTTTCTTAAATGTTTCCTTCTCTAGTTTTACAAAATACAGACTTATCAAATAACATCACTCACATACTGCCCATAACAATCAACTGCATTAATGGCAACAAAGCTTTGTGCCAAGTCAGCTTAGACAATAAAAGTCAAGGGTTACAAATTGTCAATAGAAAGACATTAGGTCAGCAGAAACAGGCCTTACAGACTGACTGTGCAGCTGTTATTGCTCTTACGTTTTTGACATTGTCCATTAAAAATTTACAGATATACAATGAAGAAAGAAGACGATTTAGTCTGGTGAAGAATCAGCCTCGGAAGATTGTGGAGAAGGTGGCCTCAGACATAGAAAAACTCCTGGCTAAGAAGCGTAAAGCTCTTGATGTAAGTATATGTTTTCCTGACAAATATGAAACACTGTATTAACACCACCAACTGTGCGATTCCACAGTATGTGCTGCTTATTTCGTCTTCTGTTTAAATGTAAATGTGAGGTGAACTCTCTCAGAACTAAATTGTAGCAGTGAGTGATAAAGTAAAATAAAGCATATTATCTATTGAATGTTTAAATGCAATATAATTTCATGTAATAACAATGCAGAATTACATTTATACATTTCAATTTTATCTTTTATTTTACAGTACAAAATTCTTGTAAGAGACACCAGGTGTTAGCTCTGTGTGAGATCCATCCAGTGGTAATGAGAATTCGATTTGTTTCTCCATTGGGAAACCTCTGGATGAGTTTGCTGACAAAGCAAATCAACTCTCTTGCAACACTTGCATTAAAGTTTAGTAAAGATGCAACCATAGGATTTAACAGTGATTCATGCTGCCTTTCATTGTTGTTTGTTTCCACAAAGCAGCAACATCTCAGCTGCAGATAATACAAAGTATATGCAGAAGATTGATTTTCTATTGTTTTAATGTCTGGTAGTAGCTACAGGGTTTGCAAAATACAACCAAAAAACTTGACAATGACAGAGAGGTATTTGAAAGACAGCTTTCCTGATGTTGTCAGAGCAGTTCTGGTATGGTACAAAATGCAGACTGAATACAGAAAATGCAATTTACAAATACCAGTAATCCCAAGTCTGTCTCGGAGGAACCCACACTGTGTCACAGTGTTCGTCCCTAGTGAGACAAGACACGTCATTAAACTTTCTCCTCTAACGATTCTCTCTTTTCGACATTTAGAGGTTAGCCAGTGAAGCAGAGCGGCTCCAGCGAGAGCATCTATGGCAGGATGGGATCAAGGTAAGACTTGAAAACCGTACATACAATTTGAGTGGTAACACTGCTGAGGGCCATACAGCACGATCCTTCATCTGATTACCATTATTGACCCTTCTTATTGCTGTGTTCCATGTAAACTGCATTTAAACCCAAAAACCTCCATTTGTCTATGTTAGGTCATCACTTTAAGCCCACACAGTTTGTTGCAGCGTTGGTGGTTCATTGCATCTGTCAGTGCATCCGTCTGTTAATTCGTTGATCGGTCATGTCCCGTCTTTCTTGATGAAGGTTTCTTCAACATATTTTACTGTTTCTTCATGTCTGTAATGGATCTGAACTCGAGGTGATCTACAGTAACACAGTTTGGTCATCAGTGGGAAAATGTCAAGGAAGTAGAATGATATTGTTTGCTGTGTGATCTTTTATGCACTGTTGTTTTAAATTCACTATCATGGTTTACTATAGACAATGCTTTAGTCTGATACATCTACTGTAGATATACAACAGTAACCTTGGTTCGCAACGATATTAATTATTTTTTATATTATTTTTATTAAGGATTTTGTCTGTATTTCCTTACAAAATTGTATTATAGGATAATTTTAGAATGAAGACATCACGTTAACCTTTACTCCTCTGTCAATCAAAAGATGTAAATTCAAACCAGATGGGTTTGTCTCGGAGCGCTGTGGCTCTAAGCGGCGACTTGAGAATGAAAGAACATTTACACCAGTCAGCTGAGCAGATCCCTGAGCGTTTGGCTGGGTGAAACAGATGACTGGGTGCACTCAGCCGTGCGGTTCTGTTGAGTCCTACACACAGTGGCATTCCACTTTTCCACTCGGCCTGCTTCATACGCCCAACAAAATGAGACAGGGTTAACCTCATCCTCTCACATCCTCCTCTGAGGCACTGACCCCCCCCTTCACGCCCCTCTGTCATTTTAGAGGACTACACTGGTGGTTTTTCATGTTTTATCCCATTCTTTGAAAACTGTGTGTACGTCATAACACTGTCAACCATGCTATAAGCTTTAGTTTGATTTGCTTCCTTCCAGTGATCTATTGATTTCAATTATTTCTGTATATGAAAATTGACCCGAAAGGTCTTCATTCAATATGGCCGATTTTATGAATGTCTTCACAAATAAAAGTACCTCAATTAGAGATTAAATCACAATGGCTAACTAAACGAAGATTGCGGTGAGATTGTAATATCAGCTGCCGATTCCGAGAGTAAGACTGAACATTCAATCCAAACATCTCTCGCAGAATAAAGTGATACATCTTATCACATTAAACAGGTGAAATATTTGGCAGAGTACTGAAGCAGTTCTCACAGGCTCAGATCTAAAGAAACAGAGCTCTCAGGAGAAGTTCACATGCAGGATTAGAAATGTCACTTCTTTGGACTGACTTATAAAGAGCACTGGCTGATAATGTCTGGTTGTGTCAGTGCTGTACTCCACGGAGAAAAAGGAGATCTGTATAAGTAGCAGCAAAAACACAGCAGACAGAGGGGAAAGTTGTCATGTTTAGTTGAATTGTAATATAGGCTGAGGTCTTCTTAGGAGATATGATTTGATAATCAGAACAGGCCAAAAATAGAAACATATCAGCCTTTGAATAGATGTCACGATTATTCTGAAGTATGTTGAGTCTCGGCAAAAACTAAGACTAACAGATGGCTGTGCTCTGCCCGGGCCCTACAGCCTGTCTACTGATTCATAATGTGACAGTATGGAGCAGAAAACAATGGCAAACATTTGGTAGTTACAGATTTGCAAATGGGGCGATTTACTGCTTTTCTCTATTTTGTATCATTATGTTCTTATGTCCTGCCGCCACGCTACATGGTATGCAGGATATTATGTCATCATGCCGGCGTCTGTTTCTCTTCATAGTAAAAACCTCATACTAACACCACAGGCATGGCGTAGATGATCTGATTAGATTTTGGAGCATCTTTTATCAATTAGTATGTTAAGGAGTGAACACAGATTTCTCAAGAATTGCTGTAACTAATTAACACTTAAAGCTAACAAGTTCAAACTGACGACAGATATGTAGTATGCAAAAACAAACATGTTGGTGTGAAAAATCTTTGTTAATTAATCAGCGCTTTGGCTCTAAAAGGATGAAACAGATTTTTCTTCTGAACACGATAACTCAAGAACAACACATGAGCAGAAACTTCATACTTACACCACAGCTAACCCATATGACATAGATTATATAATTACACTTGGGTGTGCCTGGTTGCATGAATTTATATATTAATGAGGTAAAATAGATGTTTTGAAACTTCTGTGAGCATTCTTGATGAGAAACTGCTTTGTCTTTTGTTAACATTTCATAAATTGAATGGTCTACAGTGGTCTACTTGCTGCCAATCAACACATCAGTAATCCTGGTTCTTGTGAGACAATGAGCTGTGATGCACAGTTGTAGCTCCTCTTTGTGTGATGCAGTCCAAGCAACATGTGTTTGCTTGTCTCCCAGTCTTTTGAAATGTTATCACTACTACCCTTGACCAATATAAAGTCAGAAAGGTTAGTGACTTTGTTTGACCTTGAGGTTTGTTGTTGCACTGCATCCATTTTCTCCTATGTAATTTCTGGGTTTTATGCTATTTTAATCCACGATTTCCTGTCGGTTACAGATTTGACTGATTGGATTACTGTTCTGTAATGAGCTGTCACATTTGGCACCTTTTTAAAATTACAGTAAAATGTATTATGTAATTGGATTTTTCCAGGCAAAACCTAACCTCTACATTCCTGTAATCCATCGTAGATTTTTTTCTGTAACGATTCACATCAAATGCATCTTTGTTTGTGAATAGATCTGGTTATTCTGAAAGAAAATGTGCATTATGTCTATGTTTGAAGCTAATAAGGTGAATTAAAGAAAAACAAAAAAGGTGTTAGTGAGGACTGTTATCATTAATCAAAATAATCTTTAGATGCAACCCTGAATTTGTACCCTCTCTATGTCTAGTAGGTGACGTGACCTACATACAAGTGATTATCTGTCCTCATATTGTTTCATGGTTGTCATATCTGCGTCTGTTTTCCTCCAGGAGCTGGACATGGCTTATTATGACTCTAAAGCTGAGCTGGATTATGTGAGTAAGGGACAAATAACCAGGTTCCTCTGCTTTTTTTATACTTATTGAGGCTTTCCAGCAGAAGGAAGATTTTTTTTTAATTTTTTTTTTATGTTATTTATCAAATGTGTCTGATTGATTGAAATATATTTTTATATTATAAGGCAATTTAAAGCAATGAAATACATGTGAAATGGTTTCTGTTGTTGTCATATAGTATTCCATGGATGGAGAAGGAGAGGTGGAAAACCCATCACATATCAAGCTGGAGTTTGTTTATGATCCAAACTTCAAAAACAATGTCAACTATTCATACACAGCTGTTCAGATTCCCACAGATATTTATAAAGGAGGCAAGTGGTTCTCTTACTATTCCTTTGTTCTTTTCCACTGCACCTTGTAATGATATCAAATACTTATGATTTAATTTAACTAATTTTACATATTTTATTGCGTCTGTCATGTCTGATTCTTCTCCCATCAGCTCCAGTCATTCTGAATGAGTTGAACTGGACACAGGCGCTGGAGAAAGTCTTCATGGAGAACAGCCGGGAGGATCCGTCACTGCTGTGGCAAGCGTTCGGGAGTGCGACGGGCGTCACCCGCTACTATCCAGGCAGGTTTCAATGTTGAATATTAAGAGGGAATTTTGTGTGTGATTTTAAAATAATTGAACAAAGCCTAATTCAAATTTACATTTTCTTTTTACTTTTACAGCGACACCTTGGAAAGCACCTGATAAAATCGACCTGTATGATGTCAGGAGGAGGCCCTGGTACAGTTTGCTGCTGCTGTATTTGCTATTGTTGGCTTTTCACATGTGCACTGAATGTTGAGGGTTGAAATTGTGTATCCTCTCTTTTCCTTTGTCACAGGTACATCCAGGGCGCCTCATCCCCTAAAGATATGGTCATTCTTGTTGATGTGTAAGTAATTAATGATGTTTCAGAAAGATAAGTTGGGAATTCTCTTGCCTTTAGTAATTTGCTTAAATGTGGGTATACTGGCAAAAATACAGTATTTGTGTGAGCTGTGAACCCAGGAACATAAAAAAACTTTCTCTTTCCTCGCAGTACTAAATAATTAACTGTTGTTGAAATCTATTTGTGATTTCTTTCTTCTTTCTCACTAACAATTAAACAGACCATTTATGTTGTTGCTTCACACACGTAGGCAGCGTCTTTGGGCTCTTGGTTCTATTTGGCCTTCAGTACTGGAGAGAGAGGCTGGACTAAAGTTGTTGTGTAGTAGGAAAACAATGCACCTGGCACACGCTCTGCAGCTCATCCTGCTTATCATGTGCAGACAGCCCAGTGATTAAGTTAGAAATGATTCAGAGACAAATATAATTTTAATTTAAATAAATTATAAATTTAAAGGGAGCTGACAAAATAATTAATGTAAAAAGGGTAGGTGAAATAAGCTAAGGCTTCAGCCTACACCTTTTCGGTCCTGTTTTGTTTCTTGTTTATCTTGTTGGAAAATAACTAAACTAAACTAAACTAAACGAGAAGACACTAGAACAAAGGAGTGTTACAACATATAGTGGATACACAATTTGATGCGACATGACCTTTATTGAAGACATTGACTATTTAAAGGAATAGTACGTCCTTCCCATCTAACTCTCTGTCAGAAAGCAAATAAGCACATTCGCTGCCAAAATGTCAAACTATTGCTTTAATCTTCAACATGATCAGACAAGTTTTCTTTCCTGTGTGAGAGCGTGCTCTGCTGAGTGTATTCAGACTCATGGCCATGGTCGAGTACAGCAATCTGTTGTTGTCACCATACTGGACTGTCCCCATGTTTGCTTTTGTTGATAAAGGGTTTTTCACTGGCCCTCTTTCCAAGGTTAATCCTATTATTCAGTGGAATGAGGAACATAGGAGAGAAACCCTTACGAATGATCAACATGAAACATGTTTGTTTGCTCACCACATACAGTATGCGTCAAGCTTGCCAATGAGACAGCCGTGTATTCAAGTAAAAATAGGAAACAATAAGTAAGGAACAATGAACATTTTCTAACCCCATATGTTCACCCGCAGTGAAGGAATACTGCTGAGTAAACCATAGGCCAAAAACACAAAATCTATTTGAATTCATTCACACCAGGGTTTGTGTGCTTGTAATTTTAGCAGCGCTGCTGAAAATTGTGTTTGGGTTTATGCAAACTGCACAGTAGTGCGTTCCTCTGTGGACTGCAAAATACAGCAGGAGGGAATGGAAATACAAACAAATGGCTACTGAAAAGGATTTATCAAAACTGGTTAATCACTGCTGCAGGGGAAACTATGTGTGTGAGTGAACATCTGTAACATCTATACTACTGAGGACTTTAGTCAGGCACTCGAGGGAGAGAGAGTGTGCATTGTAATAGAGGGAGTTACTGTACTTTTGAAATAGGTACAGCTTATATTTTAAAATCTGTTTAAGCAGTAACAGAGTTTACCAAAAAATCTTTGGTAAATTTGATTGATGATTTTTAAGATTTTTTTATATAATTTTGAAGGGATTTTAAAATTTAACCGCCGATCTTTTTGTTGACTCAATATTTCCTCATGTATCCTCCATCGTGGAGGGTTTTTGCACTGGGCTCATATACCGTACACCTTCAGTGTTAGTAAATACTCTGCTGAACTGGAACATGCACTACTATAATTTTTCAGACCTATGCATATGTAAACTCTTTGCTGTATTCCTGTGCATGTTTCCTCAGGAGTGGTAGTGTCAGCGGACTCACCCTAAAACTGATCAAAGCGTCTGTGATGGAAATGCTGGACACTTTGTCTGATGATGACTATGTCAACGTGGCCAGGGTCAGTGTCTGCAACACTTACCATTATCACTGATTCTCTGTCATTTTATATCTCTCTATCTTCTACTTGTTTCCTTAATTTTGACGTCATATATATATATATATATATGAACCCTCTCCGCGTCTCTCGTTGTGTTTCAGTTCAACGAGAAGGCCGAGGCCGTGGTTCCTTGCTTCAAACATCTAGTCCAGGCTAATGTGCGCAACAAAAAGATCTTCAAGGATGCAGTGCAGCAGATGCAGGCTAAAGGCACCACTGACTACAAGTCTGGATTTCATTTTGCCTTCAACCAGCTGTTAAATGTAACTGACATATTGGTTTAGATTATGTTAATACCAATGTCTTCACACACTGTTTAACTGTATCCTCCAAACTCATTTTCTTTTTTTCAGAAGACAAATGTCCCCCGGGCTAACTGCAATAAAATAATCATGCTGTTTACTGATGGAGGGGAGGACAGAGCTCAGGACGTCTTCATGCAATACAACTGGCCCAACAAAACGGTTGGTTTCTTCTGATTCTTTCACCTCCAGTGTTTGAACAGGATGTATTGTGGTGTCTTAATTGCCCTCTGAAAATTTGTGTTTAATTTGCTCTATTTGCCGCCCCAAAGGTTCGAGTATTCACCTTTTCTGTGGGTCAACACAACTATGATGTCACTCCCTTACAATGGATTGCATGCACCAATAAAGGTGAGCTGAATTTTCTTTGTAATTTATTTATTCATTTTATTTTATTGCTCATATCACATACTATACAGCAGTGATTCGCAGCCTTTTCTGTCTGATCTAACCCCATAGCCCTGCTAGATGAGCTCAAGTACCCTGTCATCAACACCCCCTGTCATGTTCCAAATATGTTCATATCAATGGATTATAAACTGGATGTTATTTGACAGTATTACTTATATAAAACTCTCGTACAGCTTAAATGTTGCTTTGGGCAGTTTATTACCATTTATCTATTACTTTAAGCTATTAGTTTCAACAGTTTATTCATCACTTCAAGCTGTGTTTAAACATGCCAACTAGTTTCCATGCTCTCAGGTTGACTGGCTTCTCTGCTTATTCTATTTACTTAAGATCACTCATAATCCTATTTGGCTGTTTATTTTCCTCATTATAATGTATGTTTATTTATTCAAATCACACTTTAGTTTAGTTTTTTAGTTGAGTTTTGTTAATTAGTTGAGCTTTTCACTTACCCTCTGGCAACTGCAGAAGTTCCCCTGGGCTACAACTTCCCCTGGTTGGGTATCACTGCAGTAAATTAGGAAAACTACACAATATGGATGCAATTGCCCCTTTATCACAAAAAAGGAGACTCCAAAGGGTTTTCAGAGGGTAAGTCTGCAGTCTGTAATTCATTTGCAACACTCCAAAATAATAAAGCAAATGAAAGAGTCCTTACTTTTTGTGCTGAGTCCACACTGGATCGTTGTTATAAGTTGGACTTTAAAACCGTGATACATATTGGCTGTGCTTTCCTGCCACATGTAAAGTATCAGCAGTAAATTGAGCACATGTATTTCTTTATCTCTTCATTCATTCCCATAATAGGCCCACTCTGTCCGTCCATACTATAGAAGAGTTTATCACTTTATTACTTTATATCGATTAATTGAAGCCTAGACGAAATGAAAAAGTGCACTTAATAAATAAATAAATAAATCACTGAGCCAAATGTACATGCGCTGATCCTACTAATGGGCCTGTGAGCAGTCCAGTGTCCATACTCTGTTCGCTCACGCAGAGGTCAGTTATGTTCATGCAGATCAGATGTGCTGTCAACTGAGAGATCTTTCCAGAAGAACTCGTGTTTGTGAGGATTGTTGTTGCTCGTGCAGGGGCACTGACTTACTGACACAGAGAATACTGAAAGAGTTGCCCTTTGTTTATACAGTGTTTTAGTTTTGCATGCAGGTTTTGCTATTATTCTGACATGACTGGCTGGATTTAAACTGAGGGGGAACATTTTTTATCCGAGGCTTCACTGACCCCAGATCAGCTCCTACAATAAATCAGCTTCACAACCAACGATGGCACATGCAGTTATTTGGTATTCTGTGTTGTTGACTGTTAAAGACTATGGCCCACATCATTTTATCACCTAGGAAGACAATTTGTGTTTATTAATTAATAATAATACTAATGAATAAACATTTGATTGAACTTTGTATTATATATTTAAGAGGTGCAGTGTTGTAGATTAAGTACAACAATAATAACTACCCAAAATGCCCTCTGTCCAGCCCTGAGTCGGCCAATAGCAGGCCTACAAAGGTGATGTGTGATGGCTGCATCACATCAGTCATCTCAGTTTCATGCAAACCTTGTAATGATTAACATCAAGAAGAACATTTACAGTATGTATTGTATTGTATTGTATTATATTGTATAGTAGGTATTTCCTCCTATAGTTATGATGACAATATCAGATATGCTATTTGGTGTATATATATATATATAATATATATATAATTAATAATTAATTGTTGCTGTTTTTACAAAGAACAAAGGGGTCAACCTAAAAATAAAACATTTCCTTAAAAAATGAATGGCACGTTTATCTATTAATAATCTGCTTAATTTGTCATTTCTAACAGGAGACCTTATTATTAAATTACTTGGGAGCTGAGAGCAATTCTTTATATTTGGGAACATTTGGCACTTCTTCTTTATTGTAAGAATAAGAGCAAAGTGATGTCACTATTTTGACGCCAAAAATACCAAAATTGTAATCTGAGTGGCTGTGCACTTACTTCCAGATCTTACATTTAAAAATCCTGATTTGAGATCATCTGATCTAATGGTCTTGACTGAACTGTACAAACACAGATACCTCAGTTTTAAAAGTGAGTGGTATTCCTCTTTAAGCTTCCTGTCTGTGGGATTTAAGTGGCTGAGTCACTGGGTCTAGTAGCATCTAGTAAAATCTGGAATATTTATGAGCACCACTCTGTTTTTTTCTAATAGCATCGCTCACACTTGCTCTTTTTCTCTCTCTGTTTGTCTTTTTTCTCCGTTGCTTGCCAGGTTACTATTTTGAGATCCGTTCCATCTGTGCTATAAGGATTAACACCCAGGTGGGTTTGTCTAGTGCCTCTGACACAGCTGATCCCCGTTCACTGTTTGTAGTTCTCCTTGTGGCGCTCACTCACTTTGTAGACATCTACCTCTACTTCCATTTATTTGCACGCCCCATTCTCACACCTTGCAGATGTTGGTTTGTTTTTAAAGTTCAGGCCGGTCACGTATCTCTTTTGTTTTGTCAGGAGTACCTCGATGTGCTGGGGCGCCCCATGGTTCTGGCAGGCAGCGATGCCAAACAGGTTCAGTGGACCAATGTGTATCAGGATGCATTGGTGAGACTCCATTGGGTGGATTTTTATCAAACATAGTAAACGCATTATACACACTGAAAAGCTCATGATTTATATTATTTGGGGTTTGTCATTTGAATCTGCAGGGTCTTGGCATGGTAGTAACTGGGACTTTGCCTGTATTTAATCTCACCATGGATGGAAACTCACAGGTAACTGGTAGTAACATGTCAGGTTGAGTGTTTTTATGTTTACATATTGCAGGTTACGGTCACTTTCTCTGTTTGCTAATGCAACATTTCAAAGGCAGGATTTAGCTCTGTTGTGTAATATGACAGAATACTTAATGGCTACCTTTTAGAGGAATATTTCAATATTTTCTAACAGTTAGGTAAAAAGACTGATACTACTCATTATTGTACAGTAAATTTTAAACTACCAGTTAGCTTAACCTAGCAAAGACGAAAGAAGAGGAAAAAATGACACGGGTTATTTGCTGGACTGTCAGCCAAACTAAACTAAGATAAGATAAGCTAAGCCGAAATAACCAACTTTGCTTCATACTTACCATAGAGCTCTAAGAGTGGTATCAAAGTATTTCCTAAATCTTGAACTATTTCTATTACTATTTAAATGTATTGCTGCTGTTGTCTTACCAGAATCAGCTGATATTAGGTGTCATGGGAGTTGATGTGCATCTTGATGAGATAAAGCGACTGACGCCACGCTACAATGTATGTACATCCCATTAGCACCACTATCAGTCACACATTTCTTCATTTTTATTTTTAATGGACAATACAAACAAAGTATCACACATTGTTTCTCTTTTTTTTTGTGCATCCTAAACAGCTTGGAGCCAACGGATACATATTTGCCATCGATCCAAATGGATATCTTCTCCTACATCCTAACCTCCAACCAAAGGTGATCTATATTTAACCTGGCAAAAAGCATTAAATTTACACTGTGGATAGTTGTTTTGAGAACCAGTGGGAATAGCCATTAGAGGTCCATTTAAACTGAGCACAGATGGACTACAGTTCATTGATGATCAGCATGCTATTTTACCTGTTTTACATGTGATGTCACTCTAATGTAAATGTCTTTTTCGCACTCGACTCCTCACAGCTTGTGAACCTCCCTGAACCCGTGACGCTGGACTTCCTAGACGCAGAGGTGGAGGACACCAACAAAGAGGAGGTGAGCACTTAGTGCCAAGTGGAACCGAAAAATTTTCAGGCGTTTTCTGTTCCATGCTGTTTGTTAAGCTCATGTTCAAAGTTATTCCTGGGCCGGTGAGCAACATTATCTGCCTCGGGACAATCTGCATACAAGTCTGCAGGGTCCTGTGCAGGTAACTTATAACTTATAACACCGTGTTTTCATGCTCTAGATCCGCCGCCAAATGATTGATGGAAGACCAGGGGACATGCAGGTCAAAACACTGATCAAGTCGATTGACGAGGCACGTAATTTTTCTTTTGAAAAGCTTTTCATATTTCAACTCTTTAGTCTGACTGTAGCTCTCATATAGAGTTCAGTGACATATCAAACAGCATTTATTTATCAGGTCTAATCTGGGGTAACCTCTTATTGTTGCAGTATTGGCCTAGATGTCTCAGTTACAATACAGCTGGTTACCATTAAGTAGACCTGGTGACACCACATACTTATATAGATTTACAATGCTGTTTAACAAAATGTAAAATTCCAAAAGTGTAAAGCTGAAATATTAATCACTGCAGAGCTGCTTTCTAAGTCACCTTTGTCCTACTCTACTGAGCACTGCACACAACTCTATGTTGAGTAAGTTATGATACATTTGGAGAAATCATTTTTAACTCTCACTATGCATTCATTTCCAAACAAGTGGTAAAGGTAACTGTGTGACAATGTCACCACGTGATCCATTCACTAGCTCTTGTAGTCCATGTTGGTGTAAAAGCATATTGTAACTATCACTTTTTTCTACCGTTCGAAGTTGAAAATATAAACCCATTTGTCTTCCATTTGTTGTGCTTATAAATGTTATTGGTGTAAAGAAAACACTGCATCAATGTCATCAGTGCTAGCGCCTATATTAAAAGATATCATCACAGATTATGTTAATTGAATCTATGAGGATTGTGTTCTGTGGGCTCAGCAGACAGTGAAATGTATCATTGCTTATATAAGATGGGAAAAACTGCAATATTAAAACCCAGGTTGCAAAAAAATCACAGTCACACCTCCACAAAACGACATTGCACACATGTTAAAGTAAAAGTGGGTAACCTGTAGCCTGTTTACTTTGACTGAGTATTGAAATAACTCTTTTACTATAGAATTACATTGATGAGGTGTACAGGGGTTACACCTGGACTCCTATCAACGGCACAGATTACAGGTGAGTGGTCGCGATGTTATGCATTATAAATAATTCCCGATCAGCTGTGCCCTGGTGAGTGCTGCACACAGGGATGGATTCACTCATAAGACCCTTCCTCTCCCTGTCTCTCCTCATTCATGTGCCTTCCTGTTGGGATGCTGCCCCCTGCAGTCTTGGCTTGGTACTACCCCCTTACAATGATTACTACATCCAGGCAGACCTGAGTGATGTGATGCTGCAGCTCCAGTGTGAGTACCAGCGAGGCAGCGCTCTCACATATCTGTTTTTATATAGAAAGGTAAGATGTACAATAGATGAGATGAAAGAAATAACATCACCTGTCTGTGTTACAGATATGCAGTCGCTGCTGCCCAGCTCCTTTGAATCATCAGGACATGTGTTTCTGGCTCCACGGTGACTCTGATCTCTCCCTTCCCTCTCTTCGTTTCACTCTTTCTTCTGTCTGTTAGTAAAGAAAACATCATTATTTATTTATGTTCTCCCTCTGCAGGGAGTACTGCAAGCGTCTGCACCTTTCTGACAACAACACCCAGTTTTTGCAGAACTTCCTTTCGCTCATTCTGGATATTTCTCCAGAGTCTGATGAGTGTGAGTTACATGTGCTCTAAACGCTTTCAGTAGTAGTTTATCTGCCGCGCCGCAGATACACCAATGAGATTATCTGCTTGTCTTTTTGTCTCAGGTGACCAAAGCCTCATCCACAACCTGATTTTGGATTCTAGGATTATTGGGCAGCTGGCCTCTCGTGTATGGAAGAACAAGGACCTGAATTCGTGAGTGAGCTTGTTGTTGCTCTGTACAGTGTATTTACACACCATCTACTGTGGCAAAAAAAATGTGCCTCTTAGAAAGAGACACATCATGCAAAACACTGAATTTTCTAAGTCAAAACTGATTCTTACAGGTACGGCTTCCTGGCTGTGTTTGCATCCACAGATGGTGGAATAACGCGAGTTTTCCCCAACATGTGAGTAAGATTGATATACTTATAATCTCACAAATAGTTTATCTATTTTTTTTCCATATAACATTTAATGATTTGTGTTGTGTTTGTACAACAGAGCTGCTGAGTTATGGGAGGAAGATCCTGAACCCTTTAATTCAAATTACTATAGACGGAGCCTCGACAACAGAGGTTACATGTTCAGAGCTCCACCCAGATCCTGTGAGTAACTGCAAAATGATGGTTAATTTAAGTTAAACCTGAACTCAAAATAATAAATCCAGCATTTATTCGCTTGTGACATACGACTGTAAGCTGTCATCAGCTTTTTAATTGCATGTTTTGTTCATGAACAGCCTTGGACGACCCTGTAGGTGCAGAAAACGGCACTCTTGGAATTCTGGTCAGTTCTGCTGTAGAGGTTAATTTAGGAGGCAAACTGCTCAAACCCGCAGGTAAGATAAACACTTTCACATGGAAAATCACAACTTGCTGTGGTATATTGTGCAATGTGGGGTTCCCTGCATTATCAAAAGTATATTTCAGCTACTTCTGCTTTGGCTTCCTCTGATTAAAGCGCTGCCTCCTTGTTACTGTTTTTGGTCTGCTGCTGTGCATCTCATCATTCAGTGGTTGGAGTGAAGCTGGACATGGAAGCATGGGTCGACAAGTTTAAGATCCTGGCCAGCAACGTGTCAGACAGTCGTCAGGGCTCGCACAAGGTTCACCACAATGTCACTGTTTTACTTATAATCATTAATCACCCAAAGAAAACTGAATTTACTTCAACAAAAGTGACATTGTCTCATTACACATTTTGTTAAACAGTGCGGACCATCCAGAAGTTGCGAAATGGACTGTGAAGTGAACACTGATGTAAGAACCTTTTTGTCTCATTTATTTTACTCTCATATTAACACAACCACTGGACTGTGGCAAATTAGTTTAAATTTAGAGTTTAGCTGTTTTTACTAAGGGTCCTATTCAGGCAGTCAACTCACAGACAAAAGGAGCCCTTGTAAATGCTCACATCTCCAGTGTAAATAATACAATCCACAGTGCTGCCTGTATGTATGGACGATTAAGAGGGTGAGGATGTTTCAGGTTGTGAGACTGTGGACGATACTGTGGAAACAACACCTTAACAAGTGTTTTGGTCAAATATTTAGGCCTAAAATTGTATTTTCTTTAAAAAGGCATAAAAAAGCAAGAAAAAAAAAATCTGCCTATGAGGTGAGATTATTTCAACAGCTTTTCACACATACCAATTTATCTCAAAAATCCTCTTCAGTCCTGGAACCTTGATATTAGATCAGTGATTTGCCTTATTCTGTTGTGACGTTAAATAAATAGAAAACTTTGGGCAAAATACACAGAAATAATCACTTTTTATAAAAATTCTTGAATTGTTAATTTAAGAAGAAATTACAAATAAGAAAGTTGTTTTTTGCAATATTAAATATCCATTTGCTGTTAATAAATATCCTGCAGCATATGTTAAGATATTGAATTTTCAGTTTCACAATCTGCTGTTTTCTCTCTAGTAATGTCATGCCAACCTTTATCCTGAGATTTTCTGCTGCTGTTCAATGATATACTAAACAGGTAAAGATGCTGCAATGTAAACTGTGTTGTTCTGTTGTCTGTAGGACCTCCTCTGCTATCTCATTGATGATGGTGGGTTCCTGGTTATGTCCAATCAGAGAGATCACTGGAAAAAGGTATGTCCTTGGATGTTTTTTTTTCCTTCAGATTTTTAGTGAATTGGTTTTTGGGGTTTTGATAAACCCAGACAGATTTTTGTTTTGATGATAGACATAAGTGTTGCATGTTTGTATCTTGTCTCTCCACTGGATCAATAAAATATTCAGCTCAGCTGAACTCCCAGGAGGAGAATGAAACAAATGGAAACCAGCAATAAACTTTATGTTAAACCACCATGTGATGCTGTTTCCCCAAATATACCTGTCTTTCCTTTCTTTCATTCCATCACAGATCGGTCTTTTCTTTGGTGATGTGGACCCTTATCTGATGCACGCGCTCTACAACAACTCTATTTTCTCCCGCCGTCAGTCTTTTCACTACCAGTCTGCATGTGAACCAGTCAGCAGCAGCCACACCGGTGCAGCACCGAGAGGCATCTTTGTGGTAAGAGACGAACTGCAGATTTTAGACTATGGGACGGTTTAACATCTGCTTTGATCTCTTACTGTACTCTGTGTCTGCAGCCGTCCATTGCTGACATCCTCAGCTTGGCCTGGTGGACGTCCACAGTGGCATGGTGAGACTTTGTTTACCGCAAATCAAATGGCACCAGGAGCATGTGAGCTGCCAACAATCTTAACTGTGTCCAGACTTCTGCACATGAAACCAGGAAGGAATTTTTTTTTCATGCTTGGCAGCTACTGGTCCATGCTCAGCTATTTTCAGCTCAGTGTCACTGTAGCACATCACATGTGTTATACTCTAATTTATTGATGTTTCCAGAACATACTTTTCTTTGACAAGGTGCAATGTGACAACTATTTCAGGTCTGTGGTCCAGCAGCTACTGTATGGACTGGCCTACAACAGCTTGCTCTACCAAGGTTAAGCATCAACTCAATCTGTGTGTGTGTGTGTGGAAATGTTTGATTATAAAAGGATAATAAATAGATTTATTTTAAAAAGCAAAATCCACAAAAAATTGTGTGATCAATCAAAAATCAGTGTTCAAAGTATGTACAGCAGTTTATTTGCATTTTGGCCTTATTTTTCCTTATTTCCTTATTTTTAATGTCCCCAGTAAATTAGGACTCAACAACAGAGTGTGCTTGTACCAGGAAACAACAACTTTAGGATGAATATGTACATAAAATCTGTGTGAAAATGAATGTAAACCAAAATACAACAACAACTGCTAAAACTAAAATGATGAGTTTTAGGAATGTTTCACAAATGCCACATAAAATACTGAGTTTATGTGTGTGTTTTCCTTTTAGACAATGTCCTAGTTGAAGGTTTTGAGACAAAAGAAAGCAGCTGTGTGACCATCCAGAGCCAGTTCTACTTCACAAACACCACCAACTCCTACAACGTGCTGCAGGACTGTGGAAACTGCTCACGGTGTGTTTTCTGGAGCGTCAGCAGAATATGTTTGCAGTGTTTGTGCTCTCAGACCTGCACTGTACATATGGAATCAGCTAAATATCCATCACTGTCTCCTGTAGGCTGTTCCACGCGAAGCGGATAGAAAACACCAACCTGCTCTTTGTTGTTGCTGAGACGCTTCCCTGCAGCTCCTGTGAGATCGAGAGATTGACCCAGGTGAGGACGGAGTGTATCCTTTCTGTGCTCACACCCTCTGTGGTGCTTTAATCTGTGCTGAGGGTGGAAAGTTCATCCATCTTGTGCGGCCGGTTGAGTCCACTGTTACTGTTACCTCCCTTAAGTAAAAACCAACAGTTCAGGAGGAGAATCCATGTGAAGTACTGAGCAACGCACGATATCGTAAAGGCCCGACTTCCTGCTTTGACTACAGTGCCTTAGTAAGTATGTTCACTCGATTGACAAGTTATTAGGAACACCTCGCTAAAACGAATACAACAATCCTGCAATAAATCCTTCTACATCAAGGTTATAATGTTCAGTTTTTATTGAGACTGTTTTAGAGATGTTTTGATTCATCTCCATGATAATTTTGGAGCAAGATGTAGACTGTGGTGCTGTTGAACTGTTGCATCATACAGAGATGTGTTTCTATTATTTAGCCTACCTCCTACCTTTTTGATATAATGCTTTGGACAAAACAATAGAAAACATCTGTCCATAGAAATATATATTTTCCAAGCATATAAATGATATTTTGTAGAGAAATTTTTATCACATGAAGAATAACTTCATTTTACTCACCGAAAATTTCAGTGTGTTTGCTGTTTGTTTTTTATTGTCCTGATAACCTCTGCCACTCAGTTTTCACTCAGAGATCTTTGTTCTCCCAAACTTTTATGAAACTCCATTTGTTAGTGACTCTCTACTTAGCTATCATGGTTTGTAGCTACACATTTGGAAAACCTGAAAATCATTTATGTAGTTCCTGGAAAAAAAAACAAACATTATCTCTAAATATAGATAAATCTATGAATGTGTTACATCTCATTTTTTTATAGTGATGAACATGTAGTAGTAAGTTTTTTTTAAAGGAACTACATTAATGAGCTTAGCTTAGTTAGCTAACGCTTATGTGGCAGAAGTCAGCAGTCAACCAAGATAGCTAGTCTGCAAGCTAATAAAGCACAGACTAACTTACAAACAGAATTTCATAAAGTTTCCTGAAACTTGGAGAGTAACCAAAACTGTATTTATCTACTTTAGTTTGGCTGCTCTGTGTCTTAATCCTTACTATTGTCTCTGTGCTAGATTATTCTTTGTGTGATAATAATCACTACTGTAATTTATATGCTTGAAAAATAAACTTTTCTGTCCTCGAAATGTTCCATAGCATGCTGAAGGCTGAGGCACAGATTCCATATATGAAGTGCAAACAACCACAAGTACTACTGCTCCATTTGCTCTGGAAAAGAGGATTTATTGTTGACTCTCTTTGCAGGAAAACACGTCAGAGTGTGGACGGGGTCATTCTCTGGAGTCCTCCATAGGAGTCCTTCTCTTTATTCAGCTTATTCTGCCTCTCTTTCATCTCTGACACGTGCAAACATCTTTCATCTCTTTGGGTTAAGGCTCGGATCTACTGAAGGTCAGATCAAACAGCAACTGCAAAATCCTTTTTTCTTTTTTTTTTTTAATCTACAAAAAGCACACGATGCATTGTGCTAGTGGTAAAAAAGTACCTGGATCAGCTCTTTGTTATTTTTTTGCCTTATTGCATATGCATTTGTTGGTGTTTGAGGGCTTAAATGCAAAATATAGGTAAAGAATGTGTTGAGTGTGCATGCTACTTATACTAGGACAAGCATGTTTGAAATTTTTTGCACATGGGCTCAGCCACATAATGAATCACACAAAAAGTCAGGGAGGCAGCCGAAATATACTTTTAATAGGCCAATAAATAAGCAACCTGCTGGAACAGATGTACTGAAGGGAGGTTATCATATCATACTGTAGAAATACTTTGTAATACGTAAAAGTCAAAATTTTAAAAATAAATAAAATAGTCCCTTTGATGTTGTAACTCGTCAAGATGGAGCTAATTTTCACTACTTTATACACTGCTGAGTATTATGTCTGTAACAATCTATTTAATAAAATTTTCTGTGTAAAATCGTAAAATGAGAAGTAAGAACTTCTGTCAATAATGTAGTGGAGTAAAAAGTGCAATATTTTTCTTTACAATATAGTGAAGTTGAATAATTAAAAGTGCTCTGTGCAGTTCTGTTGTAAACAAAGCTTCTGTTTACATGCGCAGTTCAAAACTAGGGCCCACTTAGAAAAGCATGGCTCTACGAGTGGTCGGAAACTCCACATGGTACCTTTAAATAGCATAAAGTGGAAATACTTCAGTAAAGTACAAGCAACCACAACACTACACCCAAAGACAGTAGCATGGTCTACATCTAAATACAAAGCTGCACACGCCTGGTTTTTATTCAGAGGATTTCACAGTTGAGTGATTCAACTGCCTTCATGAGACATTATTCAGAGTTTTTAGATCTTTGATTGCATAGTATTGTTAAACAACTCTGAATCTGCTGTAATTTATTTAAATTTTTGTTGGTATGGATTTAAAGTTTTCATACAGTACAACTCCTGAGTAAAGCAGTCCTCGGCATTTCCACAAATGACAATTTTACATGTGCACGCCACACATTGAGATAACTGCTGCAGCATGAGCATGTAAATAAATAGACAATAAATAGACAGAATTGGCTGCTGGTTGAGCTTTAGGGTTCAAACTCCCACCTGTAGTTCGCTCAGACACTGCTTATGGCAACTTTAGCTTTTGTTGGCTTAAAATGAATTATCTACTCCTATTTTCTTTTGCATGTTGGGTCCTGGTAACTGTTGCTGTACATAAAGGAGTAATGCACTTAGAGCTGTTTCTAGTCAATAGTAGATCCGGGCCTGAACCTCACATTCACTTCAGTGTCTTTCAGTCCACCTCTGACCTTTGCCAAGACAATTTCAGTATTATAAATTGTATCATATGTGACCCAGAATGATTTCTTGCTGCCATTTCAAGTACTCTCTGTCTCTTAAATCTTTAAATCCATCAGACAGAATTTCTGACAGAAGTTAGGTGATGGTTGAGAAGAGTTTTTTTTTTTTTCTCCTAAAATTATTTTCCCAGAGCACATGAGACAACAGATCAGAAAAGCCAGTATGATGACTTATACCAGTGTCAGACCTTCAGCAAGATTTTGTGACTTTTCATGACACACATCAGTGATAAAACATCCGTGTAGTTTAATTGTGATATAAAGATTGTTTAAGTCAGGGTTTGTGTTGTTGAAATGCTTCCACAGATGCGGGGTATGATCTTGAAGTGCTTCCAGTCAGTTCCAGTAAGAGGTTGTTAAAAGATGTAAAAATCAAACAGAAGACCAAAATCATCAAACATTCATTGATTTTGAGTAGAAGTGCATCCTCAATTGACTATAATATTTAAGAACAGGTGACACTGCGCAGTGTTTAATGCAATAATTCTATTATAATTGGATACTTTATTCTAGCAGTGATATTTGGTTTGTGATCAAATGAAGAGTAATTCAAATGCAGTGTTATCTGTGTAGTCTTATAGCACACAATGTGCAGACGTCTGTGTGTGGCCGACATGTTTTTAAATGTGTTTGTTTGATTGATGGGAAGCTCTTTGTCCCTGTTTTTGTATCTTGTATCATCACTATTTGTCAAATCTGAATTTATGCACTTATGTATGCTTCTGTATGGGGAATGTAGCTTCTGAACAGCTTTCGGTGTTATCAATATATTATTAGTATGTGATGCTTTTTGACCCTGAGTTGAGATTCCCCTGATGTCTCATTGAAAGTGATGATTCTCTGTGGCAGAATATTTTCATTTTATCATGCATACCTCGTCTTCACAGCAATGTCTGATTCAACTTTTTACAAAATGATGGAGCTGTAAGACTTATCAGTTTAGTCACAGTTTAGTCACAGCCCAGTGCTGAATGTATGGGCTCATTACTACATGAGCTACAAGTTTTTTTTTTGTTTTTTTTTAAAATCTTTATTTATTTATTTATTTTACCAAACTCCATTTATAGTTTAATTTGACAAACAATCTTTTTAAAGATGTTTAAAAACACGTAAGACATAAAGAAACAAATTGTTCTTCCTCATCAAAAAATCCTGATTCTTAGAAAATGCAAATCTTTTTTGGTTCAAAAGTTTAACTGCTGGACACAAGTCGTCTCCTACTTTACTATTAAGTCTGTTCTCAATATATGTGCACTGGAGGATCCAAGTTTCCACATGACACTGGAGTGAGTTGATTATTGATTATTGGCCCAAACTAATTATGATGTCACAAATCATGCTTGTGTATACATGTGTTAAAGTCCGATTTACAAAGAATGAAATTTTCCCTCTTCAAAAGATGTTTGTGAAATGTGAAAACTGCCTTCTAGTGTCAAACTCTGCACATACATCATTCTTCACAGTGGAGGTCAAACATCTAGGTAACAGTAAGAAAATCTATTTTTGAGTGGAGGAGGACTTTAAACCACTTTAAAGCAACAAAGACTGACAGTGGTAGAGACTTTGTGACCTCACAGTGTATCCATAAAGAGTTATGCATGATAAAACCCTGAAAACATTTTCCCACAGTGACTTATCAGCCCCTCACTCTGGTTACAGAGTTAGTGGGAGATATTTTTAAAAAGCTTTTCTGACAAAATATTTGTAAAATGCTATTTTTTTTTTCCCCCGTCTGCCAGGGTGCTCCACCCTGCAGTGCCTTGTTGCACTTGTTTTGGATGGCAGGAACATTTGGTTCTTAGCTGTGGAAGTTCATCCTGCAGGCCATGTGACAGACACACTTGAATTTCAAGGGTTGCTATGGTTCAACTCTAAATGGACTCCTTGGTCAGTGATCATATATATTAAAAAAAAAAAAAGATGCTCTTCATGAACTTAGATTTTTAAAGAGCACAACAGAAGTGTGTTGAGCAGCTGGCCTCCCCTCCTGCCTTCTCATGGACAGATGTTTGTCGATGCGATGAGAACAAACCCTGCTGCCCTTCTGCTACGTGTCGTTTCTCTCTACACTGTGGTTCAGCCTTGAATCAAAGCACAGACACTGTCCATTTTCATAGGTTTCTACTTCGTCCCATCTGCACACTGTATATTCTGTATTTGAAGCCTGTTGGAAACATGTACTTTTCCATTAGGAAACGAGTGAATGTTTATGTACAGTATACCTACTGTTGTGCTTCTCTACTGTACCCCAGCATGGTGGGGACCTGGAGAAACAGATTAAAGCTCAACACTGTTTGGAGACCTCAGTTAAAAAAAAAACAAAAAAACACTGCAACAAAAAAACTAACAACAACAAAAAAAAGCTTTTACTCTGAGACCTGCAGTCGGGTCATATTGCATTATTCAAACAACACTGTTGTACATTGACGGAAAGACATTTTGTGGAACTCTTTATAGCCTACAATATATTACTACTGTTGAGGTCAGTGTTGTAGTTTTGTTTTAAATTACCAGTATTTATTTGCATGATATTTTGGACGATTTACAGATTTGTGTACATAGCCTGATGGATATTTTACATTCCTGTCCGCATCCAGCTCTCCATCACTCTGGGGAGACGCGATGGCGCCCTCTGTGGATATTTTGGGTGATGTGGAGGCCTCAGAGCTCTTTGCTGTGTGTAAACAAATGAAGCTGAAAGTTTGACTTCAGTGAAGCCTACAATAACTGTCAGTGTTTGCAACTTAGGTGTTTTGCCGCAAGTAAAAAGCACAGAGATGTTAAGAGTTATGAGCAACATACTGCCTGATCAAACTTTTGTCATTTACTAAAAATGTCTCCAAGTGACATAAAAACGCTGATAATGATTTATGCATTTAAAGGCTGTACAACAACCAAACAAGGCAGTGGCATGTGTGGGGATTAATGAACTTTGTTTATGAAATAGATTTAAATGTTGCTTATTTAATTTATATATGTATTATTTTAGTTATGATTGATTTATTCGGGTATTGTGAAGAATATTTGTATTGAGCAGAAAGGAACTGAATGTGATTGAAGCTTGTGTGGGCACAATAAGCAGTTTACAAGAAAATCTGCAAAACAAACAAAAATATATATATTTACTGTATGTCTATGTCATTTTATTTGCTGAGTATCAAAAGATAAGAATGTTAATGTTTTTGCTGTAACTTTGCTTTTCATTTTGCTGACGTTGTCGTTTACTCGGGACAGTTTCCTCTCTTTGTGCCAGTCTCCAACGCCACCTCATTTTTGTACAGACGATGTGAAGCAGTCTGCAGAAGATGAAGGTTAACTTTGTAAAGATTTTGTCAGTCACATTACAAAATAGATATTTAAATGTTTATATCTTTGGTGATTAAATGCTATTGATATTTTTCACTTCAGCTCTGAATTGTTATTGTTTCATCATTGATTTATGATTTTTTTTTTTATCACCACTCATGTTAATAATTAAACAGACGTAAAGTGGCCCCTGTGCAGATGGTTTCACAAATCCTCATACAACCATAATATTCTATACAGTAGAAGGCTCTTCAGTCCAATTTACTAAAGGACAGAGCTTTAAAGCCAAGAAGACCTGCAAATTGTGAAAGGTTTTACTTATTTTTAATTAACTAGACAAATATTCTTTATTTAAATTATTTTCAGAGTTATCTTTCCTCTCATCATAAAAGACACCACGAAATCCAAGTGAAGCAGAAAGAATGAAAGTATGAAGAAGTTAAAAAGTGATTAAGCAGAAAAACAGTTTTCTTCCCGTGGCGGTTCTAGCTTGTATGGTTCCCTGGGCAAATACCCCCTTCAGTCCCCCCTCGTCCAGCTACAATACAGACACACTATTCTGCACAAACTAACTTTTTTATTAAACAGGGTATCATAACTTTTAAAAACTAAATAAATGATACCAATTATACACAATCATAAATACCAAAATAAAGTAAAAAGAATAGAAA